AGCCGTCGTGTGTTTTCTTATGCTAACTTTTTTATATATCTTTGTTTTAGGATGAATTGCAAAAAAAAGTCTCTGAAGGTAGTCTCAGTGTATCTGGCAGTAATGATGTGTTGACCTTGGCTTTGGGTCCCGAGCATCCAGGGAGAGTAAGAGGGGTAGGTGCTGGGATTTTCCGTAGGCAATACTTCAATTTATCTACACAACAGAGGGTAAAGTGTAAGAATTGTCCTTTAAGAAGAGACTAAGAAGATGGAAGCTAGATCAAGGGAAGAGACTTTAAGGATGAAGGCTAAAATCAAGCAATTAGTAGAGGCTGAGAGGGAACATTTACTGAGTCAGCTTTCCCAACTCATCCCCAATTTTGATCCAAGCATGCTTAAACCGAAAACTAGCCCTTGTCAAAACCAAGGTCTAGAGCAAAGTCCCAAAAATCCAATGTCTGACAAAGCAAGCTGCTCTGGGGATGTGAGATCCCTACATTTTGAGGATGATACTGCCAAGAATGGGGAAAAGCAGGAAGAAATGGTAACATATCTGAACTCTGAATACTCTGTTTTTTTAAAAAGCAATTAGACGTCGTTATTATGAAGCAAACCGTCGTCTGAAATACATACCACGATGATTTTATTAATAAACCATCGTTTGGATTTCAATACCACGTCGTATTTAGTTTACTTGTTTTACACGCCATTAGACATCGTTATTTTTGAAAACTTTTGTTGTGATTTAGATGACGGTTTTAGTCCTTACCGACGTAATATATAAATCCCCACGACGTTTATTATTTACCATCGTTTAATAATTTTAAGATGTCCATAATTTTTACATTACCGTCTTATTTTATGCCTTACCACGACGTTTTGATTTAATTTTTTTACTTTCTGTACAATCTATCATATATATATATATATATTTCTTTATTACTTAAAACAGAAATATGGGGATTTTGAAAATCAAGATGAAGAGAAGAAAGAAGAAAAAAAAGATGAAGAGAAGAAGAAGAAAAAAAAGTTGAAGAGAAGAAGAAGAAAAAAAAGATGAAGAGAAGAAAGAAGAAAAACAAGATGAAGAGAAGAAAGAAAAAAAAGAAGATGAAGAAAAGCATGATGAAAAGGTATATTCTCATAACTTTGCCTTTTTTATTTGTTTTTCAAATTTCAGAC